AAAAGTTTCGGGTTAACAAAACCGTAGAGGCTACGGAAAACGTGAATCCGAACGATTTCACACGGCCACTGCCTGCTTCCGCAAGGGTGCCGACTAAAAAGAGACATAAATGGGTAGTAAACTATCATCGTACAGCCATGCATGCCAAACGTAATTTATGGTTCAGTTTCGCCTGTATTGTCATTATTGTTTTGCATGGATGACCAAGACGCATATCAGACCAAGGAGTTACAACTCCTTGATATAAGAAAGCCAAATGTATAAACCAAACAAGGCATTATATAGTACTTTGGTCAAGTTAATTGTTTTTGTCGATTCAACTATCCACAGGACCAAGTGACCGCTCATTTACATGCCTATGAGCTAGTTTTGTGCTTAGTCTGATCAAGGAGTTACAGCATTATTGTTATACATCGGTTCCTACCAAAGACCTTACAATTACTACATAAAGAGGTGAAAAACCACAGTACAGATAAGTAGATACTGGTATATAAAAATACAAAAGATTGAACAAATAAATAGATAGATAAATAGTATGAGGAACAACTAATAAGGATTCTATCTGAACAAAAACAGAGTAAGAAAAGAACTGGTATATTAAAATTTGACCACATGTCACTCACAGTATCAAGGCCAGAGTGCCAAACAGAATAGCATGTAGCCAGGATATAACGTAAGTTGTCCAGCGATCTGGGTATCCGGCGCATTTCTCAGGTGTGTAATGACTGACCAGCCGATTAAGTGCCGTAAAGAATAGGAACGACGTGGGGAATATTACGACAACGGCCTTGCCCTTCCATATGAATTCCTCGTTAAAAGACGCAGCGTCCATTTTGGCGTATTAAGTGTGGGAATAGGTCTACCGTAGCTGTAAAGAAAATAAAGAAAAAATGGAAAACAGTATACCCATCAGTCTGTCGGAAGTTGATCTGTCTCGGCATATAGAGATGATGTTTATGTTGAGGAAAATTTAAATTCAACTGCTCCATTTCCAAACTAACTGAAAGCGTACCTGTGAACTCCTTCGTCCTAACACTCAGGCCTACCCAACTACCAGACTCGGCACCTAAGGATCCTGAATTAACCGGTATATCGGACCACGCTGCCCGTTTTCAAGGTGTGTGTCAGATCGCATTTTGGAGTATCATATCCCAGAACAAATTTTGTAGCACGACTGCGGGCTCATCCACGCTCGGCTGAACAACCTTAAACTGTACTCTTACTTTAGAGTACTCTATTTTATTGTCTCTATGGGGATATATGGGGACTTTACGACATTCGGTTTGAATGTTTTAACCACTTTTGATAGGGATTTTTTTTGCATTGTATTAGATTAATGTGGCAGTCTAAGGTTCATCTAGGTGGCTTTCCAATTTATGCACCCGGTTTTAAAATCATATAGCGATTTTACGACAATCGTTTACTATCCAGTCAAGGTGACAGCCGAGCATGCAAGGGCTCATTCTTTCGGTGTTCTGGCTGATACTCCGAAATGCGATCTGACACACACATTGAAAACGGGTAGCGTGGTCCGATATACCGGTTAATTCAGGATCCTTAGGTGCCGAGTCTGGTAGTTGGGTAGGCCTGACACTTGGGACTTCATCAGTAACAGTGCACTGAAGGCCCCGTCACACCTAACTTAAAGGGGTAGCTACGCATGAGTAGCGTGAGTGACGTCGATTATACGCACAACTTTTGAGCGTATGAATCACTGTTTCCTGCGAATTAGAATGAAGACAAAAGCAGCATATGGAGTTGTTTTTGAACATGCACAAAACTTCCGAATATTGGAACGTGCTACCACGTGTGTCTGCGTACTCAAAACGTATACGGCGTAAGGTCTGCTTATGGGCACTTTTTTTCATACGTAAGTGCTATACGCTAGGTGTGACAGTGCCTTAAGTGTATGGTCAGTCTAGTGAGAACTGTCCACCATTACTCTGTCCCAGATAAGGGTTATATTTGATATCCTCTATTAACATAGCACTGCCTGGATGTTCAGAATCTTCACGGGGGCGGGGAGAGGGACTCAATCATTATGACCATCTTGCATTCTAAATAAACCATTAGCACATATTGGTACTAGTACTTCATGATCAATTTTAAAATATTCCTGGTCACTAGTTAAATGATTGTTCTGGTACTAAGGGCGGACACGAATATCACTATGATTATTGTAAGACGCATGAATCAATTTCAGATAAAAATTTCCACTTTCATTACTAAATTTTTTAAAAATATGAAAATGTCAAAAAAAAAAAAAAAACTATAAAAGGTGAAAATTTGAGCGTTTTACTAAGAGCTAAATAAAGTACATCTTCCGCCATACATTTAATATGCCCGCAACACTCCCCTTGCATGTCACATGCTAGCTTTAATCTAGTAACGGCGGGGTTATTATTAACCTATAGCTAGCCCTAACACCCCATCAATGGGAACCCTCTACCAGGGCGACAGATATTCACATATTTTACAGATATTCACAGATATGTCTTTAGATAGATAGACGGTCATTTTGGTCTGCTTACTAAGGCACCGTTCATATGAAAACTCCAAATTCCAAAAATCCAAAAATCCATTGGCGGTATCTAGTGATCACGGTCTGTGCCCTGAATACCACGCTGCGTAATTTACTAGCAGAGCGAGCGAGTTACTTCCAAAGCTGTAATTACATCTCGGTTTCGCTCGGAGGAGATTCTGACACCTGGACGCATGTGCAGTAGGTTGAGGAGCTGGAAGAGCTCTTTCGTTACGGCCGGAATTTCCAGCATTACTAGTACTTGTTATGCAATTAGGAAAGAGATAAAAAAAACATCATGGTCTTCTGAATCATCCCAGTTTTGCTAGGGGGATTTCCCCGCTTGTGGTTTAGATATTCACGTGCGTGGGCTGTGTTTTGGCGTTCTGCGAGTTTTTTTTTTTTTTTTTTTTATGAAGTGAAGCAATATTTCGGGTGATTCAGCTCATTAATGTTGAAGAGTTGGACCGGGGGTAGATAATTTTAGAGTGATGTTCTAATTGATTAATGCTCGACCGATACTACATATCACTGGTAAACGACATTATCAAGCAAAGTTTATTTTCCCGCACCTATGTGACAAGAGATACCAAAATAATATGCGTTATTTTCAAAATCAGAATGAACTTTATCGAATCCCTCTCAACTGTCTTAATTTATTCAGTTTTCTTTTCGAGGCAACGAACAGTTACAAGGGGTGTCAACAAAGGAGTGAAGGAAGATTTTCAGTTGTCCATGGAGAAACATATGGCTCGCAGTGAAGAAAATATCGAGGCTTTGATTCGTGAATTTTTAGCCAATGAGAGAGAACTTTTGCAAAACAACCTCTTATAGCACTGGCAGTCACAGTGCACCGTCGTCACTGTGCATTTCTTCAGAAATTAAACAATAAGCAGAAAACCGTTTGACCCATTGTCTTGAAAGCAGGTTTTTGGACCGTGAAATAAAAAAATTATAGATGCCAGAGGTAGTAATGTGTTAAAAACAAAGCAGAGATGGACAAAAAGTAAATAGAGTTACTGTATTTAAGAGATGCACGATGCACATTTTCTTTTGAAGGAATGAGATATGGTATCTGTTGTCAACGACTGAAGCATGGATAAATAAAGGAATTCCTCTTCTTATGTCATCGTCCTTATATTTTTGTTATATCAGCTCCTTCTCTCTCTCTTTGTGTGTGGGGGTGTGACTTTAAAATTATTCATGCAATCCAACAGTACCATGTCTATAAACCAATGCAAAACGTTATTTAACCATAAATGGATATTAAATATAAATGTAACACGTTCCTTTTAGACTCGCAATGCCGTGTTGGTATTCACCTGTCACCACATGTCTTGTCACTACACAATTTTACATCCAGTATACAAAAGTTGTGGATGCTAGCAAAACTGCTGTGAATTAAAGAAACTCAAAAAAACAAAAAAGAGTTTTTTGTGGATTTTTCAGAAATTGTTCAACAATTCGAAAGAAAATCAGCCGAGTAGGTTACCAAATCACAACTACGTGTCGTTTTTCATCAGTCACCCGCATGTACTTGTTCATGTCTAGTCCTTACACAGAAACACTGAGAAGAAAAATAAATTGAAATAATGGTACAAGTCGACCGCATAGAATTGTAAACGAATTAGAAAATAAATATATAGGCTATAAATGTCTTTTCAACCAAAGTAGCGTTGTGTATATTTATTGACGCATTTATCAGTTATCCTTCGATTATATCATGTTATCTCTTGTGGGCACGATTCATACTGTTCCCATTCACTGGTCAATCAGAGGTCACTTTCTTGGGGTCACGTCTTGACCTTTTCAATATTTGATATGCGATATTTGCTCCAATCAGAAGCACGATTGTTTGCTGCGGGATGACGCTGACGTAACAAATCATCGGCACCTGGCCAGTGTACCACACGTCAACGTTCATCATCACAAAGACGAGGAGTTGAGGGAAGAAGCGGAAGATGAAGAACGTAACTGGAAATGAAAATGATAAAGTATTAGGGATAATTTAAATTTTGAATGGAATATGACCAAAATTTGCCACAACGTATACAGACAATTTCTTTGGAAATCCAAACAGAAGGGATAAACAATTCATATGCGACTTTTGGAAAAAAGTGTATAATAAACGTGAGGCATATTTTACATTTTAAGCAACTTTTCGATGAATTCTCTAATATATTTGTCGAGTCGACGAAATACTGTAGTCATTATCTGGATATCAAGTGGCTAGACGCAGAGCCTTTAAGGCCTTTTTCGCAACTGGACCGGTCCACTTCAAGAGACCCTTAATTGAAAATACGCCACAGAGGGATTTTTCCCCCCTTTCACAAGTTCTCCACGAATCAGTTTCCTAGTGTTACAGTTATATAAACTGAGCTTGTTGACTACAGCTTCTCCTTCAAAGGGGCCCTTTAAATAGCAAGTTGCATTGTCAATATTTCAAAGCTGTCCGGACCATAAAGTAGCCTACGCCGCTCGACCTATTAAAGCGATTTGATGCCAAAATAGCATCTTGCGATTCCTTACCTGACTTTTGACTATCTGATACTTAACTGCAATTTCTTGCACAATTCATCTTAATATAACCATCTTAAAGTCATCTTAAAAATATCGGAATATATCTACCGAAAAATAACATATTGAGCCTCTTGTACAACGTCGATTCTTTTCGCCCCAACATCGCCAAAAGTTTTCTTCCGTGCAGAAAGACGTTGGTTATCTCACACAAGTAATCCCAAAGAACATAGAAGGTGACTCGGTCGCATGGGGGAAACTGCGAAGCCGTGACGAAGAAGATACACTAGAATAAAAGAAAAAATTGATCTACATCTCAAACAATACATGTATAAAAAGAAAATTAATTTATCATTTGGTTAACATTGTTAAAAGAACTCATAGTGATATCTTGGAGCAATTATTTTCCTGTTGTCCTTGAGAATTGTGTAGCATTACACGTCCCACTCTCCGTCATGTAAGAAAAAACCTACAGAGGTAAACTTTTCAGACTATTTACGAATCTACTGATTTTCTTTTTTCTTTCTGTCTTTTTTCTCATATTGGGTACTACTTTCATTACATAAATACGTAGCCGAGTGTCTAATTAGATGATGAATTTGAGAGAGAGAGAAAGAGAGAGAGAGAGAAGGAGAGAGAAAAGGAGAAAGAGCTTACCAAGACATGATGCGCATAAATGTCGAAACTTCCTATTTGTTCCATACTGATTCCCATAGCAACAGAATCGTAGGCAAAATATCCTGAAAACAATGATATCTTTGAATGTTCACCTTTGCTCGCCGTTTTTCATATTAACTAGCCATGAATATAACTAACAATTGCATATTATACTTACATAAATGCATATCAGATGACCGCAAATTGTCTAATCATTATAAAATAACATACCTTCAGGGCCGTAGCCTGAGCAAAATGCCAGGGGGGGCAGTAAGCGGACACGAGGGGGCGAAGCACCCGAGGGGGGTGGGTGGGTGTGGAAATTTTTTAAAAACTGTATGTATAATACTGCATTCTGGTGCATTTTAACTGTTATTTATTGCTCAATCAGAAGTCAAAAATTGTGGGTTCATATTGCCATTTTGCCATATTTGCACCTCAAATCCCAGGGGGGGCAGCTGCCCCCCCTGCCCCCCCGGAGGCTACGGCCCTGACCTTAGAACTCCCAAGGTATTTTCAAGATCAACCTATACATGTGAATATCACTTACCTGCTGATATACAGTGTAAATAGAACGCCCAGGGAGAGCTCTCAAACCACTCGCGGCCTGTCAGGACCCTTTAAGACAAATTAAATTTAATAACAAATTATTTTATGTGAGGTAAGCGGGCCATATTTGCCCAATGTTAGGTCACGTGACACGAAGGACATCTTTTACTGGCATGCTGGATAACCAGCGACGGGTAGACTACTAAAGACACCTCAGTGCTAAAAAGTGCAAATTGGCTTAAACCTCACGGGGGTCTATCACCAGTAATGATCAACAATAGATGAACAAGACTTCTCCGAACTGAAGCCTAGCTTAGATTTGCCGCAGGCGCCGTCCTATGAAATTGAATTCGATTTCCGTGCGACTTTTCTTTACAATGTTTACAAGTGTCTACAGGCTACATCGAGTATGTTAACATTCAGTACGGATGCCAACCATATCTTATTTTGGTTCGTCGGTTGAAAAGATATGATACGGAGGCCTGTCAGTCTCAGTGAATTGTTCGTTCGCCCTCCGTATGGGTTCTTATACGTTGTCAGTGTAGCCCCCTTACATTTAAGCCCTCATATGGTCAGAATACGACTGAGTTCCCATACCTATATCGATCTTATAGGATCGATCCATCGCCCAGGGGTTTTCCGCTAATTTGCTTTCAACTTAAGCGGTTTAGAGGTCTGGCACGAAGACCGAAGCTGCCAAAAGAAAATTAATTACCCCTAGCAGTGCGACAGACATCAAAGCCTCTTAAGTTGATTGCAATTTAGCGAGAATCCCCTCGGAGATACATCGATCCACAGTTATTCACAACTTCAATTTCATACAATATCATCAATAACAAAACCGTAGAGGCTACGGAGAACGTGTTTCCGTATGGTTTAGCACGGCCACCGCCTGCTCCCGCAACAGCGCCGACATAAAAGGGTAGTAAATTAGCACCGCGCGGGCGTTGCATGTCAAATGTGATTTATGGTTCAGTTTCGCCTGTATTATCATTATTGTTTTGCATGGATGACCAAGACGCATATCAGACTAAGCACAAAACTAGCTCATAGGCATGTTAATGAGCGGTCACTTGATACTGTGGATAGTTGAATCGACTAAAACAGTTCACTTGACCAGAGAACTATATAATTCCTTGTTTGGTTCATACGTTTGGCTTTCTTACACTATTGTTATATCGGTTCCTACCAAAGACCTTACTGTTACTACATAAAGAGGTGAAAACTACAGTTCAGATAAGTAGATACTGGTATATAAAAATTCAAAAGATTGAACAAATAAATAAATAGATAAATTGGTTGAAGAACAACTAATAAGAATTCTTTCAGGACAAAAACAGAGTAAGAAAAGAACTGGTATATTAAAATTTTACCACGAGACACTCACAGTATTAAGGCCAGAGAGCCATTCAGAACAGCATGTAGCCAGGATATAACGTAAGTTGTCCAGCGATCTGGGTATCCGGCGCATTTCTCAGGTGTGTAATGACTGACCAGTCGATTAAGTGCCGTAAAGAATAGGAACGACGTGGGGAATATTACGACAACGGCCTTGCCCTTCCATATGAATTCCTCGTTGAATGACGCAGCGTCCATTTGGCTTATTAGGGGTGGGAATAGGTCTATCGTAGCTGTAAAAAAATAAAGAAAAAATTAAAAACAGTATACCCATCAGTCTGGCGGAAGTTGATCTGTTTGTGTAGAGCTGTTGTTCATATTGAGGAAATTTTTAACTGCTCCATTTCCAAACTAACTGACAGCGTACCTGTGAACTCCTTCGTCCTAGAACTTGGGACTTCATCAGTAACACTGCACTGAAGGCCCTGTCACACCTAGCTTAAAGGGGTACGTACAGTGTATGAGTAGCGTGAGTGACGTCGATAATACGCACAACTTTGAGCGTATGAAATCACCGTTTCCGGCTAATTAGAATGAAGACAAAAGCAGCCTTTGGAGTTGTTTTTGAACATACTCAAAACATTTTATCTCCCTTCCGGGTACTGGAACGTGCTTCCACGTGTGTCTGCATGCGTACTCGAGACGTATACGGCGTAAGGTCTGGGTATGGGCATTTTTTCTTATACGTAGTGCTATATGGTAGGTGTGACAATGCCTTAGGCAGTCAATGTATGGTCAGTTTAGTGGGAGCAGCTCACCATTACACTGTCCCATTACCCAGATGTTGGGTATCTTTGATATCCTCTATTAAACTGCGGAGAGGGGGGGGGGGGAGCTCAATCATTATGGCCATCTTGCATGCTAAATAAACCATTAGCACATACTGGCACTAGTACTTCATAATCAATTAAAATTTTTTCCTGACCACTAGTTAAATGATTTTCTGGCACTAAGGGCGGACACGAATATCATTATGACTATTGTTAGAAGCATGAATCAATTTCAGATTAAGATTTCCACTTTCATTACTAACTTTTTAAAAAATATGAAAATGACAATAAACGAAAACAGGTGAAAATTTGAGCGTTTTGCTTAACAGTTTTAGGGCTGAATCAAGTACATCTTCCTCCGTACATTTAATATGCCCGCAACACTCCCCTTGCATGTCACATGCTAGCATTAAACTAGTTACGGCGGGGTTATTATTAACCTATAGCTAGCCCATACACCCCATCAATGGGAACGCTAATAGTCATGTTGTCTGGGTACCTTAACCGAAGTACCCTGACTGCAGGCAAGAATTAATAGTTCGTTTTCTCTCGCATTTAAAGACTAAAAAGGTACAATCATAATAATTTGTGTATGGAGAAACTTTAGACCTTGGCTTCAAATTTCCTAGTCCTAAACCTGCTCATAAAATATGGCACTGGCGCTGATCATGAGCTATTAATCTTATTAGTAAATGGTGAATGAAGGTCCCCGGTTTAAGTGGCCTAAAGTGAGCCGTCTGATGCCCTATCTAAGACGAACTTTACTTACCTCTAGATCAGATGTTAAACCTGCGCCAAAGCTTGGTCAAAGTAGTCTCGTCTCTTCGGTCGCTTGTCACTGCTTCTTGAAACTACAGCGTGGACTCCTTAAACACTGGGGAGGTAAATTAAAGTGTGTCTGATCTCATCAAATAAGACTGGGTTCCCATACTTAGACTGATCCATCTGGATCGATCTAACTCCCTGGGGATTCACGCTAAATTGCTATCAGCTCTAGAGCCTTAAATGTCTGTCACAAATGTCCGAATCAGCTAGGGGTAAATATAATTACCCCCTAACAGTTTTACTAGGCGTTACAGACGTTTAGGCCGGTTAGTTTGATAGCAATTTAGTGAGACTCCCCAGGGAGTTAGATCGATCCAGATCCAGATTCTTAGACTGGGTTCCCATGCCCAGATGGATCGATCTAGGCATGGGAATCCAGTCTAAGAATCTAATTTTCACACAGGTGTGAATGTTGCGCCAAGCAGACTAGCTCTTACTATGGGTTGAATGTTTTGATACAGATCTTAACCAGATGTAAAGGTAAAGATTACGACGTGGTTCTTGTGACTTGTGTCTTGGAGAAGAAAAGATTTCGAACGGGGTTGGAAACTCCGGACTAAGGAAAAGAATTATCAGGGGCGAGATGCTTGTTGACTTTTGTGTGAAAAAAAAAAAAATATATATATATACAGGGTATATATATATATATACACACACTGGACAAAAGAAGTGTCACCCCCTAACTCAGAGTAATGAAAGTAGGCAGATCTTGGGTACTTATATTGCCTGGTCTACTTATAATGTGACTAATGATTATAAAACCGCTATACCATGGAATTGTATTGTTGGTCTTGTACATGTACAGCAAATGTTATTCCTGTCTTCCTCCAATATGGCAAGATACAGGTAATTATCTAACGGTTATAGGTGCAAGTTATTAACCTGAAGAGGCGGAATATAAGCAATGTCAGAATATCGATACAATTGAATTGTTCAGTCAGAACCGTGCAGAGGGTCTGGTCTCGGTATAGAAACACTGGATCAAGAGACAAATTGCCTCTGATGGGTCGTCCAAGAAAAAATACTGGCCGTGAAGACCGACGACTGATTTNTGTGTATATATATATATATATATATATATATATATATATATATATATATATATATATATATATATATATATATATATATGCTTTAAGAACAATAGCAGAAGAAAGCACCAGAGACATAAGGAGAGTGCAGTTGCATTACATCATCGTAAGGCACATTTAAGGAGCACGACACGAACAATCAGTACCCTCTGCCTGGGTGGTAGATATTATAGGGAAAAACTGAAAAACCATATCTGGCGAAAAATCAAGCTGTCGCCCTGGTAGAGGGTACACAATCAGGGCCAAGTGAGAACAAGAGGGAAAAGGATTTCGGTTGGAGACGAACGGAACGCAATCAAGCCGCTAACCTCTACGCACAACTAACGCATTCAGTGATGCTTCAGTCGGGTCTACTGGCGTTTATACATCAATGAAAGAAATAGATGGCAGTGACGACACACCACTGATTCCATAATGCTATAATCTGCCACTTTATATTTTGATATTTAATGCCGTTCCGAATGTCACAGTTTACGTTGCAAGCAGGTACAAATGAACTGGGGTCCATAATCAAGCTACAGTTATCATACATGTATGTGTGGTGGTAGTTTGAAGTCGAAGTTATGCCATCAAGTTAAATATTTCTAGAAAATAAAGCAATTTCTACTCACAATCAAGTCAAATATTTCTAGAAAGAAAGAGCAATTCCTACTCCCAAATCATCAGCGACTTCGGACCAAATTTGATCTGTCACCGCATTGGAGGGTCACAACACAAAGATATATTAACTCAAACCTTTGCTGTGATCGAATAACACAAGGTAACAGGGGTAAGATTTATAAGAGAAGTATAACCGTCGTGGATTTGGTATCAACACGAGAACCTACACTCGCACACACACACACACAAAACAATAACAAAATGAAGTTTTACGGAGCTTTGCGACAGTTATTATTAACAGTATATTATACGCGTTTAAATTTTTTTCAACGTCATATTTGCTACACATACTGGACAATAGAAGTGTAACCCCCTGAATCAGAGTAATCAAAGTAGGTAGATCTTGAATAGTTATAATGCCTGGTCTAATTGTAATGTGACTAATGAGTATAAAACGACTAAAACCGCTGTACCATGGAATTGTATTGTTGGTCTTTTTGTGAATTTTGATGTTAATAAAATGATGCCAGGAGCATATCATTCCGCAGTCATTTATCTCTGACAAAGTATTGGTTCAGTAGGAGTGACACTTCTATTGTCCAGTGTGTGTATGTCTTGACATCCTGCAAAGCTACTAATATTTTCCAATTCAGATCATAAAAGCTATACACCCTTCAAAATTAGGTAGCTAGCGTCGATAGTGAAATGTCCTGGAAAACATGGGGATCTAAATGGTTAAGTGCTAGTCATTAAGAATTCAATCGTTTAATCAAAAAAGGGAATAAAATCGAGTTCAAAAATTGGACGAAACGCACTGAGAGCACGCGTTTATAGATGAAGCAGTAAATTTTTAAAACCAAGGTGGAAATTGTGTTGGGAAAGTTTCTCTCTCGCTTTTGCAATTAACAGATAAATCTCCTTTTAAAAATAAATGAAATATTTTATTTGTCTACGACTGATGGACACAATGATAAAATGCAAGTATTTATATAAATTCGCATGGACAAAGCGTGCAGGTTTAAAAAATGAATTAGCAAAATAAATACATAGGCCTAAAATGTAAGTCGCTGCGTTGTGTACGGATTTGATGTGCCCCATCTCCACTGAATAGAACCTCAAATCAAAATTACTCCCAGTGATCTTTCCATGGCATCGTGTTTCGTCTTTTGGACATTCTGCTTTGTTGTGTAACTATCTTATTTACCGATTAGTCTGTCGCCACTTTGTTGTGGCCACGTTTTGACCTTCTCACTATTTGATATGCTATATTTGATCCAATCAGAACCACGATTGTTTGCTGCGGGATAGAAATGACGTAACACAACAACGGCAGCTGTGCTGTGAACCAGAAGTCGAAGTTTAACATCACAAAGACGAATACTTGTGGAAAGAAACGGAAGATGAAGAACGTCACTGGAAATATAAATGCAAAAATATTAGACATAACCTTCAATTGAAGAAAACCTGATCAACACTCGCCGATACATTTACAAAGAGACTTTATAAAGTTTGGCATTTTAAACTGTTTTAATTTTAAACTGAGAAAGACCCCATTCCCATACCTAGATCGATCTAGCGGGATCGGCCCATCTCCGAGGGGATTCTCGCTATACTGCACTCAGTTGAAGCGGCTCTGATGTCTGACACGCCTACTTAAGCTGTAAGGGGGTAATTAATTATCGATTAGCAGCTTCAGTAGGCGTGCCAGACATCTAAGCCGTTTAATCTGAATTCAATTTAGCGAGAATCCACTCGGAGATGGGGAATGGGTTCTTAAAGTCTGCCAGATCATCTTTAAAGAAAACATATTCTATAAATATAGAAATATGTGTACCCAAAAATAAACCATTGAGCCTCTTGTACAGCGTCGATTCTCTTCGCCCCAACATCGCTAGAAGTTTTCTTCCGTGCAGAAAGACGTTTGTTATCTCACACAAGTAATCCCAAAGAACGAATATTGTGACTTGTCCACATGGGGGAAACTGCGAAGCCGTGACGAAGAACGCACACTAATGATAAAAGAAATTATAAGTTAATAAATAAAACAACGTACATGTATCTCAAATGAACCAATTCTTGTTTGATTTAATTTGTTAAAAACACCCATCCTGATAATATTTGTGCAATTGTTTCTTTTTTCTGTCGTGTTTGAAAATTTGTTTCAATGGATTGACCATCTCTCCATCGTTGGGTACTGCAAGCACCCAACATATTCGCTTCATACATTTATGGCTATTATATTCACTTTTCTAAGCTATAGTAATGCTTTAAGTAGGCCTATTTAATTAGATATCAGTAAAAAGGTGCATGTCTCTACATGACGAAAAAGAGGGCCACCTATTGAGAGAGAGAGAGAGAGAGAGAGAGAGAGAGCGAGCTTACCAAAATATGATGCAAATAAATATCAAAACTTCCTATCTGTTCTTTGCTGATACCCATAGCAACTGCATCGTAGGCAAAATATCCTGGAAATGAATGATATACATGTAGATAAAATCATCTTGAAATTTCCTTCTTGACACGAGAATAATCCTGTCATTAACCTGTCTGTATGTATTGTGAATTACATAAAGAAATACCACACAAAAATGAATCTCGCCAGGAAGTATTGCGAAAAAAACACGGAAAGACATAAAACAAGAAAAGTGAAAGCAGTATTTTATATACAAATATATATCAAATACCAGGCCCGTTGCTTGGGGGGGGGGGGGGGGGGGTTGGGGGGGTTCAAAAAAACCCCCCCTTTTGCGGGGAAAAATTCGTTCTAGGAACACTCTGGGAAAAATTTGATTT